AAAAAATTTTTTTTTTTTTTTTTTTTTTTTTTTTTTTTTTTTTTGGTAGCCTTTATCCCTTTCTAACATACCATAAAATTTACTGTACTAACTGTGGTCTGCTTCCACCTACCCCCCTCAACCCTTCCTCCCCTTTAATTGTCCCCTTGATAGAATGTATCCAACTGATATATCCAAAGTACTGGAGCAGTCCCTGGCACATAATAGATATTCATTTTTAATTATTTGCTGAATGAATGAAATTGAGGAGTGCATGTAGCTGGGTGGTCTTCCCTTCTTCCAGCTCCCTTTGCTTTCCCCAGGCCCTCTCAGAATAGTTGACTTAGACTCCACCAGCCAGACTTGCAGCAGTCATTAAGGCAAATTACGATATTTCATCTTCTTCCTTGGACTTTGGAGTCACCTTTTTTAAAGACGGAAACTTTGAACAGTGTTACGCCCTCCACCTTATTATTATTATGGCCTTAAGAATGATAAGCAAACAAGATATGGTCTACTCCTCCATTCTGATCCTACATTAGTCAAAGGCCTCAAAGGGATTTTAATCCATATCTCTTAATAGTATCTCTAGCTTCTTTTACCCTTGGCATTATTTGGTGCTCACACCCTAAACCTATGGACAGGTCAATGAGGCCATAGTGAGAAGTTAAATATCACCTGGGTAGAGGTAGGTTTTTTTTGTCAGGTAAAATCAAAGGCAGGGTAAAGTTTTCTCAGTTGTCCTTTAATTATTTCTTTCTTGTTTTATAGCTTTTTTACCAGGGATCTTCCAATGTAAGGTCTATCCAGTGATGGTGGCTTCGTCAGAGATTTTTCGCACCACTACCACCTCCATAACTCCAGCGAATAAAAAAGGAGAGATAACTACAAGTATTGGTGATTTTTCTAGCACTTTGAAACAAGGTACAGAATATGTAGGGGTGAGACAAGAACAGAAAGAAAAACATTGTTAGCTCCAACATTAGTCTGAGTCTCCTAGGATTTTCCTGAAAGTTGAGAAGTTACACAGAGTTTACATTAGAAAATCGCTCCATTTCTTATGGAAAACATAGGTTTCTCTATAAAGAAGATCCCAGAAATGTTTGTAGTTTTACACTATAGTCACGCGTTGCATAACGTCATTTTGGTCAATAATGGACCTACCATATATACAACAGTGGTCTCATAAGAGTATAATGGAGCTGAAAATTTCCTATTGTCACATTGTAACATCATAAGGTAGTGCATTACTCACCTTTGTGGTGTTGCTGGTGTAAACAAACCTACTACACTGCCAGACATATAAAAGTAGAGCACATACAATTATGTACAGTAGATAATACTTGATAATAATAAATGCCTATGTTACTGCTTTATGTATTTATTATACTTTTTATCGTTATCTTAGTGTACTCTATTTATAAAAAAAGTTTGCTGTAAAACAGTATGCCCTGTTAAGCCAGCAGCAGCCTCATACATCCCATGTTTGCTGTGTCTCTTGACTATATCATTTTCTCATGTGCTTGATTTAATCTCAGATTGTTTTATAAATTGTGTGTAGCCTAAGTGTACAGTGTTTATAAAGTCTACAGTAGTGTACAGTAATGTCCTAGGCTTTCACATTCACTCACTACTCACTCACTGACTCACCCAGAGCAACTTCCAGTCCTGCAAGCTCCATTCATGGTAAGTGTCCTACACAGATGTACCACTTTTTATCTTTTGCACTGTATTTTTACTATACCTTTTCTATGTCTAGATACACAAATACCAATGTGTTACAATTGCCTATAGTATTCAGTACAGTAACATGCTATATAGGAGCAATATGCTATAACATATAGCTTAGGTGTATAGTAGCTATACCATCTAGGTTAGTATAAATGCACTCTATCATTTTCACTCAATGATGGAATTGTCTAATGATGCATTTCTTGTGATGTATCCCCATTGTTAAGGGGCACATGACTGTATTAGTAATGCTTTACGTCCACATAAGTGAGCTCTTCTTATAGCCAGATTTGGGGACAGACTAAAAGTATTCATGTGGTAGGTAATTCAAGCCATTGCAGATATAGATAGATGACATTTACACACTAAGCAACCATTGCAGTGATGACAACAACCGAGTGCATGTTTTGTGTGCGCTGTTTTTAGAAACAGCCTTTCCTAAACTGTCCTGGACTCAAATTCTGTAATATTCTAGTTTGGGCTACATCCTAGTTCCTACCAGGAGAAAAATAAATATGAGACTAGTAATAACAAGATGCATATTAAGCCATTTGTCCCTAAATTTGGCTTATGAGCCAGAAGTAATTCACCTTTGTTCCTCCTATGCCCCACTAAAGCCACAAGGAGCACAGGAGGTGCTTTTCTAGGTAGAGAGCTTGAGAGGGCTGCTGATGGAAGATGAGTTTAGAAGCCCTTGTGCACCCCTACCCCTTTTCCTTCCAAGGGGGCAGTGTAGGAATCGGTCATACCTGATCATGGAAAACTCCAAATCTCAGGGAAGGTGACTCACTGGGAAGAGGCTGCAAAGGAGTTTAGAGCAGAGCCCGTGGTGCCCACCCCACTCCTGTCTCTACGTCTGAACTGGAAATTCGGCCTCTGCCTCTGAATCAAGCTGGACCCCTCCTAGTCATGTGAGCCAGGAGAACTTCGAATCAGAGGGTCAATCTCTTCCCTCTCTCAAATTCTCTTTCTCCCTCTTGTATTCCTCTCTCCTTTTAGACACAGATGAAAACCTAGAGAAGAGGAAGAAATGGAGCACTGTGGTCAAATTTCTGATTGCTATCACTCTGTTGCTCAGTGCAATTGCCATTACAGTGTTTGTCATTTTTGGAGTCCCATGTCCTGTAAGTTTGCTGATATACTGGGTCCTTGGGCTTGATCTATAAAAATCTCCTTTTCCAGAGGCAGGTTGGCATAATTAGAAAAGCAAAGCCCAGCCAGGTGTGGCTCAGTGATTGAGTGTCGACCTAGGATCCAGACGATTGGGATTCGATTCCCGGTCAGGGCACATGTCCGGGTTGCGGGCTCGATCCCCAGTGGGGGACGTGCAGGAGGCAGCTGATCAATGACTCATTATTGATGTTTCTATCTCTCTCTCTTTCCCTCTCTCTGAAATCAATAAAGACATATTTATAATAAAAAACAAAAACAAAACAACAAACCTTGAAAAAAAGAAAAAGCACAGACTTTGGAGTTTGGACAGACCTGCCACTCACACTCACTAGCTGAGTGGCTTTGAGAAAGTTGCTGGACTTGTCCAACCTCAGTTACCTCATCTTTAAAATGGGACTAATGATATTTGCCTCTCACAGTGGTTATGAAGGTTAACTGAGATCCTGTATTATAGGTGGTCCTATAGCTGGCACATAGGAGGTCCTTGCTAAATGCGAGTTCCTTTCCTCTGCTGTACTTGTATATTCTCTAGGGAGGACAGAGCCAACAGGACAGAATATTTTCTTTAGAAGAGATGATTTTCTTTAAGTGGCCTAACATGAGGTTTAGAAGATAATGAAATGCGTACCAACGACCTGAAGTTAATACCAGTCATTTTCTCCCCTCAGTGTCAATGCCTGAGAGCCAGAGAGCTATGCCAGTGCCGGGGACTGTGGAAAAGGCAAAGGACGGGAGGTCAGCAACCTGAGGCAGCCGAATCCCAGCCTGACTCTCAGCCAGTGAAGGAAAGTGTTCTCTCTATGGCCTGTGTCATTTGCCTGGAGAAAATGGGGCTAACATATAAGTGCTGGGACATAGGAAGCTGCTTTGGTTATGAAGCAAATGTGGGTAATTGTTTTATGTGTTGGGAAATAGGCAGGTATTGGTTGGTACTGCTGTTCTCTTAACGTCAGCCCAGCCAGAACACAGTGAAAATACAGATTTCTGGGCCCCAGATACAATGAATCAGAATGAATCAGGAACTTTTAACATGCTCCCTAAGTAAAGGTGAATTTACTGTAAAATTAATGAAGCTTAGCTTCAGGAACCATGGGACCTTATATACAATTTTGCATTTTTAAAATTTGTATTCTTTTTCTTTAAAAATGCTCCCCCAAAACTATTAGAGCTTCAGAGCCCACAACTATGTATCCATCCCTGCCCCTAGGTAACTCTTACATAGGCCAAAGTTTAGGAGCCACTACACTTGAACACAGTTTGATATTTGGCAACACAGCTCCTTTCCTCCCTACACTTAGGTTTCCTGATAGGATTATAAATTCATCTTGCCCTTTGGTGTCTAAAACAGACACTGGTTCAGCACACCTGCTTTAAATCCCGTTTCCCCACGAGGAGAGGACTCAGCCTTTGAAGACTGGCAACTGATGGGTGCCTTCTCCTCAACACCTGCAAGACCCACTACGGCAAACAGACAAGGTCCAAAGAATTGTAGGTTGCACACTGAGTGCACCGTGCTGATACGTTCCCTGTGTAAGCAAAGTAACTTTTCCTAGAAGTACTGGGAAACAAACAGGCAAAATGATGTGTACTCGGAATTATGCCGGGTTTTGTACTTAGCTCTCTCTTTGATGGTACATAAACACCTATTTGCATCCTTCTTTATCTTTCCTATTTCCTTTCAATCTCCAGGTTGGAGAAAATGCTCCCAACGCAAGCTCAAAGCAAGTTGCCGGGATCACTGTTCTCCACCAGACATACTTCTGAAAAGTTCTGCTCTGCTTCACATACCGCGTGGCGGGTACGACGCTGCCCTCTCCCTGTTATTAATCACGATGGGCAGATTCTTGCCAGTTCTACACTCACATCTTCAGCAGGAACATTACAATCGAACAGTAATGCCAGGTAGAGCCTGGGCTTAGCAATCAGTTACCCTCATGCCACTGGTGCTGACTGAGTCACAAGTCTCTGAGATTCGCTTTGTACTTCCACAAAAAATGGGTATCTTCTCATCCTGTCTAATGAAAACAGAAAGTCTTCCCTCTGGGCACTGTGAATGGACCGACTGACAAAAGGTTTAAACACAGCCTCCAAAGAAAGGGTCAGAGCAGCCACAAGGGTGGCACAGTTCACCAACTCCTGTCATCTTCATGGCTGACTTCACGCTCACTGGCTGTCAGCTGGCTTAGGGAGGTGGTCCTGTGTCCCCAAGGCTGACAGCCGTCGGGTTTATGATTTCCCTCTGCCACCACAAGCAGCATGAGCACGCTGGTGGAGGGAATGGGAATGTAAGCATGCCAAATGTCCTCCTCAAGAAGCCCCGAGGGGCTCAGAGGCTGCAGATCAACAGGACCCAGGTGAGGTCTCCAGACAGGATTGGGTCTGACATATCCCACCACAGAGCGAGCAGCGAGCACTCTGAACAAGGACACCAGAGTAAAATGATTATCATGATCTTCCTCATGGAGGCACAGCTCTTAGTAAAGTCTGACCTGCTGAAGTAAGAGTTTGGTAGGAAAGTGGAAAGAGCTGATGCTAAAGGAGGGTTTAGGTAAGAAAGGGAACAGTGGAGGGATAAAATTGTCATCCTGCCTCCTTTCATAAGGGGCTGAAGCCATTCCATTGTCTGTGGTAAAACATGCCTGTTTCTAACTAACTGTTTTCTTAGTTCTCTGGTAAAAACCATACACAAACCGTAGCTGTCTTTCTTTCACTTCAAGTACTGTCTAAAAAAGAGTGATCCTCAAAACTGTACCAGCATAAGCCCTGAATTAATTTTCAAGCTGAGCCTGAAAGAGATGGAACAGAGAGAAAGCATGGGTGATGGCAGTTTTCAAGGAAGCCCTGGAGACCCTCTAGGCGTCCTAAAGCCCCACAGAGCCTTGAAGAGGACAGAGCACTGGGGCTTGCATTTGGATGAATGAGTATATTACCTGCACCCTTCCACCGATTCACATCACTCCCCTTCATCCTGCCACCTGTGGTTCAGTCTGACCATGAAATGGGGGGCGGGAGGCTTGTTCCTTCCCAAGACCAAGAGGGAGGGTGATTAAAAGCATTCTATGCTTAGGGTCTAGGACGGATGCCTACATTCATAGCCCCCATTCCCAGCCTCATCCACCACAGAATGTCCTTTAATCAAGAAACATGAGATTTTTCAGGACATGAAACCTGGCGCAAAGTCTACATTCATTAATGCTTCTGTAAGAGTATAATTTGGATAACATTTATAGTTACTTTCTTTACAGAAATTCACTGATGGGATCAAAATCATTTATTTTGCTTTGGGGACAACTTGTTTCCCCTGACAAAGCAAGGTCCCTCTGAGGATTTTCTGACTCCCTAATCAGTTAATCATTTTGAATCCCATACGCTTTTAACAGTGGAGATCTTTGAAAACTAAGAGATGGATGGGAGAGATAGCAGAGGGGAAGGGAGAATTCCCATGTGGAGTTCGGGATGGGCACCTCAGTCTGCAGATCACTTCACAGCAGGACACAATTCTCCCTGTCACCACTACAGAGTAAGTTATAGTCTCAACTTGATAAAACACTGTTTCTATGGAGTGCCAACTATTCCTCTGAGGAGTAGTTGGCAAGGTTTTTATTGCAAAGTCTTTCTCATTAAGTTACCACCCTATGTTTTTCAATTATTAAAGCACATTCTCATTATAACAATTTTTAGAAAATACTGGAAAAGTTAAAGAATAAAAGAAAAAAATATACCTAATCCTTTCTCCCAGAGACAACCACTGTTAACACTTTGATGCACCACTTTATAGACATTATAACTACATATCCTTATACATAAAAATACACATATGTTACACAAATAACACCATACTCTTCATATAATTTTAAAGCTGCCGCCCCCCCCCCC